AACACTTGGTCAACAACCCATACTTAGTGATGTCAAATCAATGGACGATTTTGGCTATGCACGCAACCATTTCATCCATGGTTTAAGTCTAAAAACTTAACTTGCACCTGTTTGCCAGCACAAAAATATTACTGGATAAGCCAAAAGACCTTTTATTTTCCTATTACAAACCATGTGGTATTCTCTGGAGTATTGTACTTTTATCCGTCTAAAAGTTACTCATTCACATGCACGAGGCTATTTGAAAGTTTGAAAGCAAACATTCTCAAGAGAATCATCACATGGTCTAAAGTGTGGCAACAAACTGCATAAGCTAAAAAAGTCTATTACTGCATTTACCAGAAGTGTAATAAGCGTCACAGTAAAACCCGTCTGGCTTTGTTCAACTCTGTTGAGATTGTATGTAAATAATCAGCTCTTAGTCCTTTACACGAGTAACAAAGTATAACTGAGAGCGGTTCTTGCATTCTGTATTTTCCAATTGCCCATAATTCACTCTGCATTTGTTGTGAAATGCTCTTGGGAATATGCAGACCTCCCAAGAGCATATCACAACAATAGTTTATGCAAAACTTGGGGGCCAAACAGAGTGGATTATGGGCAATTGGAAAATAGAGAATGCTAGCAAGTGTCAAAAAACTTTTGCAGTGTGCTAAGTGAAGGCAGAAGGAATGTACAGTTCTTTTTATCATGGTTATTCTTCTTCAGTAACTATTTATTTCAAGAACAGCATTGGCGCCTGTGTGGATGATATGGTAGAGCCCTTTCGTGAACGTTCTGTTGTCTACCATGCACTACCTGCAAAACTGGCCAGAAGCACACCATTCCTGTATTTTGCTTAACTGATGGCCAATCCTGGACAATGGAACACCCGTCTACACCATGATATCCACATCATGTAACTGACAGATTGCTGTCAGAGTCTTCTTAACACGCAAAGCTGTAAGCCTTGCAGCACTGTTGGCATACCAGCATTCTTTCATTATTTTGGACACAGACTGCAAAGCCTATAAAGAAAAATAAACAGAGTATTGTCAGTTACTGTTTTTCTCTCTCAATTGACACACCAGTCTACTAACAATACTGTTAGACCGAGCAAAAGCACAATGTACCAACTGGTACCTGATGGACACAGAAGGTATACTTTTAGGACATTAAGAAACCGCTATTTTTTTGCTTTAACTACAGTTGGCATCAACTGAGTTTTGGATGCACTTATCTTGTTCACCCTACACTCAAGAAGCTAGAGAACCATACATTTATAGCAACCTTCATGTACATCCATAACTTGACGAATGCATACTGCACATTTACGCCAATGACAAGAAGATTGTGACAGGGTTGTGGTTGGCATTTTCTTCTGCCACTTGCTTCACATACATGCAAGTCTACATGTATGCAAGTCAGGCACTTCAGCCACAATATGAATACTGGGAAATATTCTGATTGCATAAGACACTTGGCCAATAACTGTGCTTTAGCAGGGTAACTGCCTTAGTAATTCCTCCCTCATTGAAAGCAACATAACTCAATCTCAAAATGCTTACAAATTTCTCTTGCAGACTTCAGTTTGATCCGTATTATCCTTAACTTTTTTACATTCTTACAAGTAACCTACAAAAGCTACTTTGAGTTGCCTATTGTTCTAAGGATGAAAAGGCCACAGATGATGCAGAATATGTGTGGTACTATTGGCACTTAAACTTGAAGCAATACCTTAGTTACTGAGGTTTTGTACTTAAAATCAAGAGGGGATGTCTGGTATGAGAGCCAATACTCTTTGCCAATATGGATCTTATTCGCAAGGTCATCCCTCTCAAGTTATTTTTGATCACTCATGGTATCAGAAATCCCGAGAGAGTCTAGAAATAACCGATCCTGTGATGCAGATTTTGCTCCAACCAGCTGGACACAGTTTTCATCTGCCACAAAATGATTATCTGCAGAAGAACTGGGTACCATATCTATAACAACTTGAGATGGACTACCTTGGAAATAAAGCTTTTACGAGTGATTAACTCTCTTACCCTTTATCTTCTCTTGATAAAATACATACCTCAGCTTGTACCCATCTGTTGGGAATGGAAGGTCGGTACTTTTCGACACACACCACTTTCCTCATCTCTTCAATGCTAGGGTCACAGGGCACTCGATCATAGTAGGGCAACTGATACTCCTCGCATATTCCTCCTGACACACATTTTCTTGCTACCTCCCATAACACAAGTCCAAAAGCATAGACGTCACCCCGCTTGTATGCATCAAAATGGCGCACATGCACATTGTCTTCAAGAAACTCAGGGGGCATGTAACGCTTGGTACCAACTCTGTTGCCATGGGGAACATCAACCGTGTCACTCACAGAATTATGGCGAACAGCAAGACCCAAATCACCTATGCAACATGTTCCTACAAAAGTAAGAATAATAATTTTGTTATCTATGGTCATTCTAGAGCAGGAAGGTCACTGCCAAAAATATAGTTTTCATAAATTGTACCAAGGATGGAGCTCTCCTTTGTTAGTGTGTATCTACTATTTGCAGAAAATTACACTGATATCAAGCTGTAAAATTCTTCCTATCTACCACAACAAAATTTTTGCAAGAGATGCAAATATCTAACTCACAAGGAAGGTAAAAAGAAATGTAACAGACTCACAAAATAATTTTAAAGATGATTGAAAACTGGGAGGAGTGATGTGATGGGGAGGACGTGATTTGGGCTGCAGGTAAGAGGGAACTGAATTTTGACCAAACACTTCTGATTTCTGAACAGTAAAGCTTAGCAACTAGTCCTTTTAATATGGGGGTGCTGATCGATGTCTTCTATTTAACAAATAGATTCCATGTTGCCGTGCGTCTGTTCAGTAATAGATCACCGATGACATCAAAATGTGGTAAGAACAAATAAGTCGCACACGAGGTGATAGCCGAGTGTGTCACTGATGTTCTTACCACACTTTTGACTTCTTCTGTGATCTATTACTGAACAGATGCACGACAACATGGAATCTATTTGTTTTATATAATAACGAAACAAACTACTACGGATAGAGTTTTTTTATTTCAAAATCTTGCAACATAACTCGAAAGCGGGCCTTTGCCCACTTTGGCGAACACAAAAAAAGCCATTTGACCTAATCTATTGTCTATACAAAATGAAGCAATCTCATTGGTTGCTATGCGTAGCAAAGAATTGTGATTGGTCCAGGAAAATCATGCCACTGTCAAACTTGACTCAAGCGTCGCTTCTCGTGGAATGAAAACTTACAGTGAAAGCAGAATTGAACTGCAAAAACTACAAATTTTAAAGAAAAAGCTGGAAAAGTCAAGTCAGATTTTATCATCAGAGCAGCCCNTTCTGAACAGTAAAGCTTAGCAACTAGTCCTTTTAATATGGGGGTGCTGATCGATGTCTTCTATTTAACAAATAGATTCCATGTTGCCGTGCGTCTGTTCAGTAATAGATCACCGATGACGTCAAAATGTGGTAAGAACAAATAAGTCGCACACGAGGTGATAGCTGAGTGTGTCACTGATGTTCTTACCACACTTTCGACTTCTTCTGTGATCTATTACTGAACAGACGCATGACAACATGGAATGTACTTGTTTTATATAATAACGAAACAAACTACTACGGATAGAGCTTTTTTATTTCAAAATCTTTCAACATAACTTGAAAGCAGGCATTTGCCCACTTTGGCGAACACAAAAAAAGCCATTTGACCTAATCTATTGTCTATACAAAATGAAGCAATCTCATTGGTTGCTATGCGTAGCAAAGAATTGTGATTGGTCCAGGAAAATCATGCCACTGTCAAACTTGACTCAAGCGTCGCTTCTTGTGGAATGAAAACTTACAGTGAAAGCAGAATTGAACTGCGAAAACTACAAATCTTAAAGGAAAAGCTGGAAAAGTCAAGTCAGATTTTATCATCAGAGCAGCCCTGAGAGCCGAAAAGCTTGGACATTGCCTTGAATATTGCTGGATTTGAACTATATGCTTGGAAAACTTGCAGTTTCAGTCAACCTGGAGGCCATTCGATTTGAGTTTTGAATGAAAGGAGCATCAGTGACGGTGGAAATTTGTGTCCTCTGTGGTTGGTGATTCTCAAATCAGTTTGAAATAGTGTCGGAGACACCTTTTAGCTGCAGTACAGTTGGCCATGAGCTGTAGTGAGCTTTACCTTGCACACTGCTGTGCCCTGAAATGGACTGGAGCATTTGCATCGGAAAGCAAGGTTGTGTGTTTATTTTAACTCGTATTAAGAACTGATGTTTTGATGTGTCATTCCTGACATCAATCGGTGTTTGAACAATTATTGTGAGACTGTGAGAAGTTGAATTTTTTAAATAAATTAATCACAAAACCATTTTGTTGATTGGTTTTGTTAAATTTGAGATAAGCGCAATGGTTCTTGGCTTACCAAGACCAATTTTGTGCTTGGTTTAGTCTCGCTCGACTGCCACTAGGACTGCTCGAGTATTTTTTCTGAGTCATTTCCTAAAAAAAGGCTTTATCTTTCTTCCTCCTGCTTCTCGTACCTGTTCAATGCCTCGGCAAGACTTTTTTTGTACCTTATCTTATGCCCAGTCACGTGAAATATTATTTAAATTCTCAAAACTTTCCGCCATTTGAAAACACAGATGGAAAAACTTTGTAATGATGACGTCAATCGTGCATCTGTCCTCTAATAAATCATAGGCG